GCTATTTTCAGTCAATAATTCCCCACAAGTCGCGCGTTTTGCCCATTCTGGACCTTTTATTAGGTCGTCCGAATGTGTTTTCGCTTTTTTCAAACAATCGCCACGGTCCGCAGAACAAACATCCTTAGAAAATCTTGAAGTCATTCGATGCATTTTTTATGCTCTTTCAAATGGTCTTCTTTACATTGCAGTTTAATAAACGAGCTCTTAGAAAATAATCGAAAACTGCAACCCATGGTTTTTGCCATAGTCAATTTCGGTATTTTTCTGAATTCCTGTAGTAATTTCCCGAAGGAGTTCAGTGACCTTTAGATAGAGCAAACAAAGTAGGATATAAAAAAATTCCCGCCACTTAAAAATCTTACTTTGTAAAATTTTTAGAAATATTTTTTTGATGCTATCAAATTCTATATTTCGTCAACTTAAACCTCATAGAGCATCACTCGGGAAGCAACTCGGGTGTTATTCGATGCAGCACCTTCTCCTCTTTCAGAGACATGTTTTTTGTTTCTGATTCGTAAATTTTTAGAGGACAAAACCGACAAAATTCATGTTTTTGCTGGCGCCCAAAGATGTACCCGAAAAATTCAAAATCTGATATTTCGAACCTGGAAACGCTCATTTGTCTTGTAAGTTTGGTAATGAATCTTAATCTATCTTTGAGAGTATCAAAAACTGAGATTTTTATAAAGTTTGAGTCTGCCTCTGGTATGGGTCTGCTAAAATTCGATGGTGTTTTTAAAATTTTGTCAAAAAATTATAGAGAGCTCTGGGAAATAGAAAAAAATCGTTTTGTATCCTGCTTGGTTTGCTCTATCCGCGGGTTACTAGAGCTTCTTCGGAGACTCAGTACAACAATTTAAAAAAATAACGAAACTTGACCTTGGTAAAAAGCGTGGGTCGCAGCTTTTGGTAATTTTCTAAGAGCTCGTTTGTTAAACTGCAATGTAAAGAAGACCATTTGAAAGAGCATAAAAAACTGCATCGAATGATTTCAAGATCTTCAAAGGATGTTTGTTCTGCGGACCGTGGCGATTGTTTGAAAAATGCGAAAATACTTTCGGGACGACCTAATAGTTCCATATACCATGTGCGCTGCAAACAAGGAAATTGTTTATTGCTGCAAGAAAAGAAATTTGGTTTCTGAAAAGCCAACTCGGATCGTGTTCGTGCACGTCAATCGCGCAGGGAGGGAGTGCATATGTGCATGTCTTAGCTTTTTACCCTGTAACGATAAGCTAGACATTTGCCGCCCTCGTGTCGCACCCTGCTCCCTAAGCAGTGAACAATTTGAAGTGAAGCGTTTCTCGGTGATGTTAAAACGAAAAACGCTGATTGTGAATGAAAAGTTTACTTAGCGGTAAACACTGGACAGGGTAACACAACACAAAGTAACTTCAACAACATTTGATCTTCGAAAGCGGTTTTTATGTGAAATTTCAGTGATAAATTTCAGCATTTCACCTTTGTATACACTAGCGAGTACATTTTTTCAGCAACTTCATCCAATTTTTGAAATTGGTAAAAACTTTGGCAATTTTGGATGCATGCCACAACTGATTTTTCGAAAGTTTTGATTAGTCTCGATTACAAAATTCTGTAAGGTAATTACAATAACATGTACAGGCTTTAGATTTTCCGAAATAAATGGAAAAAGCGTTGGCGCCGCAACAGGTAACTCTCTCTCAGCTATCTGAGCAGAATAAAACACAGTGTTCTAAATGTACTTCTGATTTGCCTTTGATGTCTTGTCTCTACAAATTCTTTTGTCGAACTTTACGCACTGTTCTTGGAGCTGGCTTCGGCTTGGATTGACAGTAACGAATCACCGATTGGTGCTTGCTACATAGGATTACGGTAGCAACCTTGTTAGCAATTTGCCACTGCCATTCTCACACAATTTTTTTTCACGAAAAGGGGATTAAATGAGCCAAAAACTGTTTACTGTGGCCTATACGGGGTCGCCGACATCAGATATGAAGCTCGCAATGTACGGTGATGTTTCTTCAAATTCTACATCACAAGCCGTGCGCACTGTATTCCTCGGCTGTAAATACTCTTTCCGAAAATTCAACTTTGCGGACAAGTTTACTGTTCTGTAATGCTTTTTCAAAGTCTCGTTTCCATTATAAGCTCGAAGATTCAGAGCAGACCATCAATGGGTCGGCCAAAGAGTAATAATCTCAAGAAAGGAACTCTGTTGTGGACGACCGCCCAAAGGTTCAAATCCATTTCCTTTTTCATTCCATCAACTTCTCACTGTGCTGGCATTTTCGACCCGTTGTCTTTTGCAAATAATATAATTTCTGTATATTTGCCTTTTGATAAAACTGCCAATCTACGAAGTTGTATGCGCTTCATGTTAGGTCCTAAGAAGTCCCGTAGCCTCCTCGAAAAGTATGGTTGGAGTCGCTCGTCTAAACTTTGTGTGATCGCTGTTTCAGAGAAAAGAGATCTCAATCTTAACATAAAGTCGTTGAAGAACTCGTTTTCAGATGCCCCAAAGTGACACCGTAAAGCTTTAGAATCGAAATCTTATTTCTGGCAATTAGAGCTCTCCTCGGGACCGCCGACTCGAAATTTGGGAGAAGCCAAGGGAGAACAGAATTCCCTTCTAAAACTGTCATGAAAGTATAAGGTTGTTCAGAAAATAACGTCGCGTTGCATCCTTTCGCAATAGAATGATCACGAAAAACAGTGAATGGGTATCATTTGATACAGCAGCGCAAGCCCCACAAGATGGCATTCAAATATTTGAGCAAACTTTGCTTTACATCAAGTTTAAAGTCAAAACATAAAAAGTTTCAAAAGTCAGATACTCGAATCTCAGTCCGTAGAATCCCTACTAATCTCAGTGTTGCCCAGGCATGTACTCTCCACCTCAGACATTCAAATGTACGTGTTCGAAATTTTCCCATATCTAGAATACTCAAACCTATGAATATTGTTTAAAAAAAGTTTCCACGCACTTGCGAAATTGCTGTAAAAGGAGCTGTAACCAGGGTAAAGCGAGGGGTGCGGCACGCCGCAGGGGGGAGGGGCCGTAAGGGGGGGAAGGTAGGGGGGGGGGGTCGTATACCCAAGGTCAAAAGCGGTTTCTAAGGGGAAATGGCTGCAGCTAAGTTCTTAGATGTGCCACGCTGTTGAAATCCTGCAAAATTCAAGTTCAACGACACAAACTTGCAGATACCGTATGCCTACCGTAACCTACCGTACCTCTAATCAAGCATAATTGTCGTAATCCGCGCGTCGAATAACCCCTATGCGCCAAGTTTCAGCGAACTCTGAGGTCTCCGAGCAGTAAACAACCTTGTATAAAGCAGTAATTTAAAATATGATTAACTTCATCTTAACGGTGAGTAAGCTACCTCTTCTTGCACTCAATACAAAGCACTACTCCTTCTTTGTCCACCTCAGGAAACCGGCTTCAGAAGACCTCCAAACTATTGAATTAGAAGCCAACCAAATCGCTTTTAGCTTTTGATCGCTGTGCTTTCACCAAATATTACTCAGAGCTAAGAAGACGAATCAGGCTCAAAACATCCCTATGGAATCTATGAGGTTTAGGCCGCAGGCCATTAACTTACCTTCAAATCGTTCAAACAGCTGCCTTTTTCATATCATCCTATAGATTCATCCTTCCTCTCTCCGTAGTAGCTGTTTCCCCTCGAACCTTTTTCTTTAGAAGGAAATACATATGGTTTTTGCGAACCATATGCTGGGAAGTGTGGCCAAAAAATATTGGGTTACGGTAGCGCTCGAAAGATTGTCAAAACACACAGAGGCGCGAGATACGCACCTTTGAATCCCACTCTCGTTATGAGCTGTGATGTTCTCGCTTTTTTGTTCTTTTTCATCACTTGTTTCTCTCATTGTTCTTTCAGAAAACTTCAGCCCTATTTGTTATGCAGTGTTACAGGTGTTGTTCCATTACTAACAACAAAACAAGTGTATTGGAAAGGATTTTTTAAAGAGTTGTTTGGTACTTAAAAGGAAATACAAACAGCAATCGTCTTTCCGAGAAGAACGAAGGTTTGCGAAGGTTTTTTTTCAATGGTTGCATATGATCAATCCTTTTTCTCTTATTAATATCAACTTTCAACGATTGTTATCAATTTTTACGTTACCTCAGCCCGAGCCTCAGCTTTCAGTCGGAGTGTGATCCCGCGAGTCGCTGCTAAACTCGATTGCTCCCCAGTCAGTGATGTTACGGGTAGATATGTGTTTTGGCTTCTACTGTTTCATCTTTTCAAATTATTCAAGTCCCACAACTTTGATCATCGCAGATACACTCTCCCGATACTTTTACACGAAATATGTGAGCTGGAAAAGCGGTGTGCAAGGTAAGCTGTAACTATCATTTCCTATCGAGTGTTGACTATCCGTTTTCATTCTTACTATCTTCCTTGGTTATTCTTTATTCTTATTTTGGCGAAGGTGTATTGTATTAGGTGACCAATGGTTTCCATGTATCAGTCGGTTACCTAGATGAGCTCAAATCTCGGCTTGGTATTGTAGCAGTTTGATTTTGTATGTTTGCTGTAAGATATAGGCTTGTGACAACAAGTATAGTCCTGCTACAGTATCTGCATCAGGTGTTTTGTGAGGTCATCTTACTTACCAAGTGAGGATACGACTTAGCCGTAATGAATCTTAGGACTGCGATCTTTGTATTCCTTTTTAGTTTTGTACTTCCAGCACTTAGCAAATTAGAAATTTCGCATTTGCTTGATCGTAAGTGGATCATAAGATAACAGATACTGACGAATCCTTTTCAAGCAGTAAACTTCCTCTATTGAAATTGTTTTTCTCCTGTGTGATACTTTGTGTGGATACAGATACAGTGGCAAACTGCACCTATGAGTCGATAACATCTTCTGCCATTTATTTCGTCTTTGTTATTTTCGATTACAGGTACAAAGTACAGCACCTATCAAAGTAATGACATTCCGTTGTACGTCGTTGTGACAGCAGAGGAAGGAGCAGTGCAGCAGTAGAAGATGGTATCTATTGATGGTTTTGTTAGTTTATGGTATCATCTGGATTTTCAGCACCCTCAGCGGAAATTGAAACAGAGTCGTCAGAGTTTACCAAGCAGGAACTTAGTAAGTCTGAGCGACCTTTCTTCAGCTAGAGTCGTTTCTGGTGGTCGAGCATTGAAGGTAGCGATAACTTTGAGGTTTTTGACATTGACTCGCTGTACCATATTAGATGCGGCGTTTAGCTCATCTATGATCTTGCCGACAAACTTGATACCGGCGTTGGAGCATCAAGAGCTGCTGTAGACTCTGGTTATGTGCATAATGACATGCAAGTTGGACAGACTGGAAAAATTATTGCACCGGTCCGTAGCAATTTCAGTAATTTATTTTGGACATTGAAAATATATTTGCAGGAATTGTATATCGCTATTGCTATCTCTGGTGCTACACAGCATTTAGCTGGAATGAAGGACAGCAAGGTATGTATCAATAGCAAGTCGCTGCTATTACGGTCAGCTAAAAAACCATTTTTCCATGTTACTAAATTCATTTCTCTTTTATTCAACACAACAACAGCTTTTTGAGGTTGAGGATTAACAAGAATCCCGATGGGCCAATCTTCCAGGTAAACGTCTACCTTCTTTATATATATCTAGTTCGCGTTTAGAGCATGAAAAGGATGCATAATTTCTGTTGGCCATTTTAAATGTTTGGCATTTCTTCCAGGTGTCTGATTTTGGTTTGAAGGCAGATCTATTCAAGGCCGTTCCAGAGATGATTGCAGCTTTATGAACCAAATTCGCTCAATCTTATGCAGCCATTTTATTTATTCTTGCTTTCTTCCTACCCTCTCATAAAGTGTCTTCAAAATAAAATCATATGAAGCTTATGCTACAGCAATGACAATACATCAAGAATAGTTTCACCATTTTATCGATCTTCAACAACTTGAAAACTCTGAAAAAAAAACCCGAGATCGCATGAAGCTAGCGACACACAGCACTATTTACGGTCGGGTGGAGGACATTAGGTCGCCGAATTTGGAAAAGTCCCGGGCGGATTCCCTGCAGGAACGCATGTCCGCGCATGTACAAGGGTGCGTATTTGTCGCAAATGACCGCGGGGACCGCCCTTTTTCGGCGACCTAATGTCCCCCACCCTTTACGGTCTTACATTTCAATAGGCTTATGGGGTGGAGGGAGGGGGGGAGGGGGGGTAGGGAATGGCGGGGGGGGGGGGTCGTGCCGAGGTCCGGCCCAAGGGAGGGGGTCGTATCCAGCGGTCGCGTGCCGCACCCCCCGCTTTACCCTGCCTATCGCACTTTTTCCGAAAGCTTTCAACTCCTATACCGTGATGGCCTCTCCTTCGCTTTGTGCGGCAACGAACTGCGTAGAATCTATTGCCTACCTTCTGCTTTTCTGGGATTGGAGACTGGAAGACAGAGCCTCGATCGCTAAATCACCGGAAATGATTAGAGCCGTAATAGCGAGAGAGATACAGAGCCCGGAGCCCAGCTATACCACCCACCATTCCCAATGATAAGAGGGAGACTAATCGAAATAAACTGACATAACCGAAAGTACGTTCTCAGTTTTCTCTCTGTTCAGATTATAAACCGAAATGATCCGTGCAGTGGCAATCTCTATGCAATATCTCACATTTCCGCATAGAGTGAAATGAAAGATTCATGAGACAGCGAAGCTACCTAGTACCAGCCGAACATCAGGTACCTACTCATCTACTTCATAACCAGCCACGTAGCGGCAGGGAGCGGCTGGTTATGAAATAGATGACTACTCAAATAATTCTCTGTGCTTGATAGCCGCTCGTGCATCAAGCCAGCGTAGGATTACTTCATATAGACCTCGCTGTCGTGCGGGACTAGATTCCTGTCAAGCTAGAAACTCTCCAGTAAGACTTTAGTCCACTCTTGTTGAAATCTCGGCATATGAAAAATATGAGTTATACTTTGCCAGCACGAATTTTGGGTGAATATTTTTTGTCAGGACCTAATTGCCTGCTTGTACAAGTCTTAAGAGGGTTGAAAAGTTAAACAACGAGTGATGGAGCACCTAGTGGGGCAGACATAAGATATCACTTACCCTACATTTCAAGTGACGAATGGTCGAAAAGTTTGACCACAATAAAGCACTACCTAAATCTCGTGCTGCAGTGTAAAACTGACATAACCTCATTTCTCCTTTTGTACAACTTTTGCCACAGTTTTTTATGAGCAGAGGAGGACGAGGATGCCACGCGCACGCTTGCCTAACAAACTCGAACTTACCTCTCTTACTGCAAGTAATAAAACCCCAATAAAAAGACAAAGTATCTCTAGCTTGTTAGACGCATGCGCACGTGAACTTCTCGAGTCTATTTTTCCTGTACTAATACATTCATCCTGCTCAAACAAATTCTTCCTCGTAGTATAAACTTCCTGCTTTCCGTTGTTATATTGGCAATATCGAGCAATTTCGGGCACTTGCGGTTTCCACTCGAGCTTTATTTTTCTCGCATGCTATAGCATCATTTGTTTTCTAGTGGGACATCGTTGTCACCTCACTGTTCGCATTACGCGTACCAGCAACAGTTCGTCTTCCAGGGGTTTCGCCGTTTTCAGAATAATTGAGGTAAAAATAAAAATTTTATCGGAAAAGAAATATTTGCGAAGATTAATGTAAGTGGTAGTGCCTTGGATCCTATCAAATATATTCCATATCAAAAAGTCAAGTTCTTAGATTCGCTCTCTCTTCTCCAGAGCAATTTTATGTTAAAATTCCTCCAGCGTTGGATTAGTTTCAGAAAAAAAATTCCCCAAAAATATTCAGGTTTTTATAAAAAAGCGGAAGTCTTGCTCGTAATCTTCTCCTAACCGTAACCGCGAATTGGTCATCCTACAATATAAAATTTCAAAAATTAGCAAGTCAAATTGCTTTTGGGCCTGCTGTGTTAATTAGCCGGCTGTAAAAAAAAATTCGCAAGCTGTTTTTTTTTCATTTGTGCCAGACAAGTCCATTATTTTGATTACAGTTTTTGTGACTAGGTTCCAGAGCAGCTAATCTTCAGTTTTATTCCAATTCAGCTTCAGGGTATATTTCGACAAAATTTCAACGGTCTCGGCCGTCTTTCTTTTCTTTCATATTTTTCTGATTTCTATTTTCATCTTTTGATTTTTGAGAAAATTTTCATCTTTTTGTTAAAAATTCTTTGCCTGTAATCTTTATCAAGTCGAAGAAGTGAGCACTTATCAACGCATATGATATAAGGTAAGCTAGTTAATTTTGGATGCTCTCGATATCATCCATAAATAAATAAGTAATATGAAATAAGGGTGATATCATTCTGGTTCTCAAACGTACCCAAATGACTGGGATTGTTTACCAGTACTGATTTCAAGTTTCTGTCTCGATTTAATGTTTTTTCTTCTTTTTCCCTACTGACTATTACTTAGTTTTTCTACTGTTTTATGATAGGCGCACTTCTTGTGCATTCAATAAATAAGTAAATAAATAAGTAATATGAAATTTCAAAATCTGGAACTGCAAATTGCTTCTGGGTCTGTTGAGTTGGAAAGCTGACTGTAAAAAAAGTTGCGAGCTATTTCTCTCAGTTGAGCCAGAAAGGCCCATTATTTTGATTACAGTTTTTGTGACTAGGTTCCAGAGCAGATCCTCTTCACTTTCATATCAGCTCAGCCCCAGCGGTGCTGTAAATTCCATTTCCATTATTTCAACGATCTTATTCTCATGTTAGATGGATCCCTATCGGTTTCCGGCGAAGTTTGCTCGCAAATGTGCAAGTGCACTGGAACTTAGTTTTTATTCTGTCTCCCGACTTCCACACAGACGACAAAATGGAAGCGTGATGAATTGCTCAACAATGCATCCAACAGCTCTAACTAGATCGAATCTGCAATCGAGAAGTTGTTGCAAATTCGGCAAATCCAAGATTTTTCTCTAGCAGATGGTTTTGGCGTTTGCGTGTTTTGCTACACTTGAAATATGGAACGAGCAAATTTTAAATTCGATTATCTTGGTAAGGGCATTGAGACGTATCTTCTAGCTGGAGAAGTTTTTCGATTTGCTCTTAACGTGCCCATCCTACTTGCTAATAAATTCTTCACGCATTTCGTATTACTTACTTCGAAAAGGAAGTAAATAATTCATGGTTTCTTGTCGATAGTCGCAACTAACAAGCTTCTCATCTATCGGCGAATCATATAGCTCCTTCCTCACTGCAGAAATTTGTGTAAAGATCATTTCATATAGCTGAATGTCTGTTTGTCTGTCTGTCTGTCTGTATGTCTGTCTGTCTGTCTGTACGTATATTCCGAGTATAAATTTTCATCTCTGAACCGGTCGAGAGCAAACTTTGCGCACATGCGCTTCGGCGGGGCGGGTGTTATAGGAAACTTTTCGTTATCAATCGATATCGATTTTATCGATTTTTCGCAAAGTTTGAGCTACGGAGCTCGAAATTGGCACAGGGAATAACTGAGCATGCTGATTAATAACATAATATTAACGGGACGGGCGGAGCCGGGTTTGCCAGCTAGTAAAAATAAACAAATAATAAATAAATATGTAAATATCAAGTAAATATAAATAATAAGTAGATATAAAAATCGTAATCTATATCGGTATAGTGTACCCTTCAGATCCACTGGCTTGGCGGCTGAAAGGTGGGGCTTTGTGATTTGATTAAGGCTAGATAAATGATCGGAGAGCACGCGTGTGACAGAGACGCAGACTGCGTCGCAGGCGCGAGCGGTCTTAACTAGGTCACAAAGCCCCGCCTTCCAGCCGCCAATCAATTGAATCAAAGGTTATTGCTTTAGTGTTTTGTATTAGGTCAATGGTATCAATCTAAAAACAATCATATTTATTACAATTATATTTCTCCATTGTAAACTAAGTTGGTAAGCATTGGACTAACTTTCTTTTCTTATTTTTGCTGCCCTTGAGTACAGCAAGTAGAAGAAATAAACATATAAATTCAGAGTAAAATCTCAAGGGAGCCTGTACCTTTCACCCCCATCTCAGGTTTGTGTGTAGCGATGAGCTCATTTCCGCTCTCGTCTCTCAGAAAAACTTTCATATCCTCCCCAAAAAAAATCCTCGACCCTACTTGAGTATCTACATCCTCTTTTCCGTCCCTCTTTTTCTGCTTATCCAATAAGTTTTCCTCATTCAGATGATGAAGTGCTATATAACGGCCATTCGATATCGACATCGAAAAGAAAGCGGAGCCTGTGCAAACACACACAAAACCGAGAGGGGGAGGTGCAAATGTGTGTGTGTGTCGTGTGCTCTCTGCTAAGCGCATATCCTTAAGAATAAGAGTGACATACTTCATTGACTGCTCTTGGAGAGCTCATTCACGTACTCGCTGCTATGAAAACGCTGCTCTCTTATCGTCGTTTCCATGGTGACAGTCACACAGCTCCAAACCAACAATTTGGTTTTAGGCTCTTTCGAAGGCTTCATCTCGCTCGAACTTCTTATTTGGTCAAGTGGCGCGCTGCTAAATTGATAAATCTGTCTCTAATCAGATTTTCTGCATATGAAAACAAGCCGAGTTTTCAGAGAAAATTCACCTCTTTTATAGTAATAGTAATGATAATAGATAATATGTTCATGATTATGACATTATAACTTAAGAATTCCGTTTCGTTCCTATCTTTAGACATTGTGTTGCCATTACCGGAACTCTTCAGTAAGGAAGGGTGGCGATAGTTGAAATCACTCATCTTTCTATATAAAGTTGATATTAGGATTTATGATTATTAATAA